GGCGGGGCTTCCTTCCGGCCCGGGCTGCGCGGCGGGGCCGCGGTGAGGGGAGAATGTGCTGCGAGAAGTGGAGTCACGTGGCCGAAATGTTTCTGTTCGTGGAAGACCGGGAGGATCGGAAAATTCACTGCCTCTGCTCCCGGGCGTTTGTGGAGTAAGTAGGAGCGCGTTCCCCGTGCTTTCTGCCCCGAGGGGAGGAGCGGTGGCGAACGTAGTTGTAATTGTCCGCTGACTTGCGGCATGGAGGTGTTCACAGTTTCAGAGGCACAGGCTATTCGGGAGACCGAGGCAGGAGGATCTCAGCCTGGGCAATTTAGCGAGATCCGATCCAAAAACCTTTAAAAGTCTGGGGCTGTACTATTTCTGTCTAAGTCAGTTTTATTTTCCTGTGTCAGTACCTCACAGGTATTGCGTTTGCCCAGCACTCGCGAATTCGTGGGTTCTAACTCTAGCGCCACACACCCGCACCGCACAAAAACCACAAAAATGCAGCCTTTAGGGAGTGGTTGCCTATTGCTATTATTATTAAGTGAAAGACTAGTTCTGATTTTGTAGGTTGTTAGGAAAAGATGTGGTAACTGATATGTCATGTTATATTTAAATAGAAGGGACATTTAAAAATCATAGGAAAGCCAGGCTTGTTGGTTTAAGCCCGTAATCAGTCCCATTACTCCAGGAGGCTGAGACAGGATGATCCAAAGTTGTAACCTACCTTGGGCAGTGTAACAGTGCATCGGCCCTAAATTCATTCTGCAGTGTGGGGTGGGGTGGGGGGAGTGAATGTAAAATGAAAGGGCTAACCGAAGTGAAGGGGAAGGTTTGAAGCGGAGTAATTTATTTTGGTTGACATCTCTTTTCAGACTTTAACATCTACTCAAGCTTACTTGCTTAGCCAGGCCTGGTATCCATTGCCTGTAATCCCAGCTCTCCGGAGGCACGAGGATGGCGAATGCGAGCCCAGTGTGGGCTGCTAAGCAATTTAGAAAGTCCTCGTCTCAGAATCAAGAATAGAAGAGGGCAGTGCATGTGGCTCAGTGTGAAGACCTTGGGTTCCGTCCCTGGTGGGGGGAGGGGCCTGTTCACACCCAAATGGACTTTAACTGAACCTTCTAGATATTCCAGAGAAAGGCTTAACTATTTTTACAGCAGTATCTTTATTTTGGGAAAATGTTTGTTTCAGTTTAAAATTGCTCCTGTAGGGAAATCAGCCAGTATGAAGGAGGGAGTGTGACTAGAAAATTGGAATCTAGAGATTTTCTTTATATTAAATGTGTGAAGCTACTTAAATATTAAATATTAAGCTACTTAGATACTAACTTTTCATCTCTAAAACGTTAGTATCTACCCTCATCGCACATGGTTCCTATTAGATGAAAATCCTTGTGGAAACAAACCTTATGTGATAATCTTCAATGTAATAGAATTTAAATTTGAAGACTTCTTTTTCATTATTTTTGTGAAGTAATCTGAAAAATGACTCCCCCCAAATTAAACAGCATATTAAATTTAATGTAAAAACTATTAGCTCCTTTGTAGTTGAGCATGGGTTTATTCAGTGAATGGTTTCTGAGCTTCCTTGTATCAGTACTATATGTTGTTAGGCACTTGGGGATAAGACAGAGCCAGTACCCACATGCATTGAGTTTACTTTCTAACAAAGGAGATCAATATTAAGACAGCTGGTTACAGAACTGCTTTATTAATTGTTACAAATGTTGAGAGAGTTACATGATGCTTGGGTAACATCCCTTCTTCACGAGTTTCTTTGGGAAGTAACATGCAGAGAAAGGTCTAAAGGAAATGGACTGGGGTAAATTCGAGTGGGAGAAAGCAAATCTGGGCATAACCACATTATAAACCAAAGAGGGGTGGGGGATATATCTCAGTGGCACAAGCGCCTGCCTGGTGAGCGCAAGATCCTGAGTTTGATTCCCAGTACTACAAAAAAATAAACAATATCAAAGAACATCTGTATAAGGAAACCTTAAGCTAGTGGGTAACAGGATCAGATTAGCATGGTTCTGGCAGTAGAGAGGCAGAAAAGCACTGGAGGCTGTTGTCCAGGCAAGAACTTACGTGGCTCGGTTTAGGACAGGTGACAGTAGAAAGTGGGAGAGACAGAGAAATTGTGGCATTGGGGACGGGATGAGATGGGGGTGGGAAAGAGGAAAGTTAAAGGGTGGGAAGGGGACTAGGTCAAGGGTAATTGTGTGGTTTCTGCCTTGTACTGCTGCCTTTCACCAAATTGTGTGAAATTTTGGGACACAGTAAGATCATGACTTTCATTCTGCATACAGTTTTTGATTTTTGGAACACCTATGAGGTATACAAGGACAGATGATACATTTTGTATATGTTGGTGTTTTACTTTCCTCATTGCTGAAACAAAATACATGACATCCAAAGTTAAAGGAGGAGGGGCTGGAGATGTAGCTCAGCGGCTCAGCACCTGCCTGGCAAGCACAAAGTCGTGAGTTCGATTCCTGGTATCTGAAGAAAAACAAAAAAAAAACTAAGAGGAGAAAGGGTTTATTTGGCTTACAGTTTGTAGAGGTTTCAGTTGATAGCTGGCTGGCTCCCTTGCAGGGTGGCATGGCAGAGGCATCGCAGAGGAGAAGTAGTTCTCTTCCTGGCGAGCAGGAAGCAGCAGAGCAGCAAAGTAGCAAAGACGAAGCCTCAAGCAATGTGTTAGCAGCCCTCTTCCCAGTGTTGGGGACCACAGATTATAAATTGAGCCTGGGGCATCCGAGGTCATCCTTGTCCTGCCCTTTGAGCCAGACTGGGACACAGAAGCTCTCAGCTTTCTTCTGCTCAAGGCTGAAGTCCTGTGGCTGGTGACACTGGCACCTGCAGGGCTAGGCAGGACTTGCTGGGGATGATAGGGCACCCAGGGAAACTACAGTTTGCTCACTGCCCCGTCTCGTCCTCGTCCTTGTCCTTGCAGGAATGCTTTGTTCTTCCTAGCCCACTGGAGTCACCATTACTGTTCCCAGAAACACTGTCCTTTGCCCATTGCTCTCGACGCAGATGTAATCAGTAAACACCAAGGTTCCAGCTGCCTCCTGCCCTTTCCTTCCCCATGAACAATTTGTCATCCCAGATCGCTGCTCGCTGCCGTTTTGTCCCTTACTCTTCCTTTTCACTGTGAGCCGTGACACCTGGCAGGAGATGGGGCCCACAGCAGGGGTCCCTAGGAGTCCCTTACATTCTACCTCGGCCTCTTTCTGTGCCTTGGATTCCTTAGAGTGGGTAGCAGTCACACCCAGGGTGGGCCTTCCCGTTATCCACACCCCGAACGATGCCAACCCAGTCAGTGGACTGATTTAGTAATCACACACCGTTAATCCCAGCATCGCATAGTCTAGATGCAGCTACCTCTGAAAAGCCTCACCTGTGGCCATCTGAGGCTTTGGGGAGACATCTGGACGTAAGCTAGAACAGTTGGTTTGGACTTTTGGAGAAGTCTGGGCTAGTTTTGAAAACTTGAGTCATTCATCTTTAGGTAGTAACTGAAACCATCAGTGGAGGTAGGGGAATCTATCCTTGAGGGATTCCACCATTTTGTTCTTCTGGTACTGGGGATTGAACCCAGGGACTCTATACCACTGAGCTTCATCCCAGCTCTTTTTATTATTGTTTAAAATCTGAAACTTGGTCTTACTAAATTGCCCAGGCTGCATAGGAACTTGATATCCTCCTGCTTCGACCTCTCCCAGTGCTGGAATTACAGACATGTACTGCCTTGGCAGTGCCACATTTTTTTAATATAAAAAGACAAAAGAGGGCCTGGGGATTTAGCTCAGCAGCAAAGCGCCTGCCTGGCAAATGCAAGGTCGTGAGTTGGGTTCCCGGTACCGGAGAAAAACCAAAAAAAAAAAAAAGACAAAAGAGGTAGATGGCAAGCTCAAGCGTATTCCCCAGAGTACTTCACTGGGCAATGAACATTAGAAAGTTTGAAGGCCTGGGATGGTGGTACATGCCTATGATCCCAGCAGTGTAAAGTCACGCTGTCCCTTGTATCAGTCATGTTTTTTGGGGGGTGGCGGGGGAGGGAAGTGTTGTGGTTTATCAGGCCATAACTTTTCAGAGGTGGCTGAATCTAGAGTGTGTGATGCTGGGATTAAGGGTGTGTGGTTACTAAATCAGTCCACTGATTGGCTTGGCACTGCCCTAATTCTAGCAGTCTGGATAAGATAAAAGGGGCAGAAAGACACTGTTAAGCTCTCTTGTTGCTTTTGCTGTCTCCCACTGCCGTGAATGGTTACTTCTGTGTGATGTGCCGCCCTGCCTTGGAGCCAGATTATGAACTGAAACCTCTGCTAACTGTGAGCTAAATAGACCTGTCCTCCCTTACCTTTGGCCATTGGATATTTTGTCTCAGCAACAAGAGAAGTAACTGACACAGGGGGCATATTCCATGTTCTTATCCAGTATCCTGTTCCTCAGCAATCCCACAAACCTTAACCTTCACTGACAATGTCTGCCTCAACCAGCTTCCTCTGTGAAGGTTGCCAGTGCAATTCTTCTTTCATCCCTTCCACTTTATTAGATAGTATTCTGAAAGGAGCATTTTGTTTTGTCTGTTCATGTATTTGTTTGTTCATTTCACTATGTTAACATGGACTCTTTCTTCTTAGGTTTTTAATGGATTATACTTCATTCCTGACATTATTGGTACAATGTTGTCTTTGGTTTTATGAGTTGGATACCTTTTGAAGCAGCTTCTGGTCTGTTTACTGTATCTCCAGCGTTCTTTGAATGCTTTCTAACCTTTTAAAATGAGATGACCCAGGTTTATTTTTACAGTCTATAGAATTACCATTTACCCAAGTTACATTGATTCTTTTAGTGGAGAATAATTTTTAAAACCAAAAGGTGGATACTCATTGTGCTTATTGTCCCTATGTCCTCTCAGAAGACAGAGTTAGGTATATATGTATTTTGTATATGTATATCAATATGAATGTGTGCATGCATACGTATATAATACGTATGTGTAATACACTTAAGACAACCTATATACTGCTGCTGTATAATTAAATCTCATTGATTTGTAATAATGCTTCCATATTGGCCCACCCAACACCTAGGGATTCTTAGGTGGGGCTTTTTCAAGGTTGGCTAAATCTAGAGTGTGTGATGCTGGGGTTGAGGGTGTGTGACTAACTCGGTCCACTGATTGGTTTGGCACTGCCCTAATTCCAGCAGTCTAGATAAGATAAAAGGGCCTTCTTTGTGTTTAGATAATTTGTCTTGAGCCTGCCATGTTTTCAGACAGTACTTTCATTCAGGAGATTCTCAGCTGTCATTAGTCTCAGTACATTTGCTAATCTGCTCACCGTGGTCACCCTGGCAGCCATATTGTGACTCTGTCTCCCCCCTGACCCCTCAGGGCTCTATAGGACATTTTATACAGCTCCTATTCCCTACCTCATCCCCAGTGCTGTTTTTTAGGGGCAGTGGGCACGCTGCCAGAGCACATTTGTACTTCATCTCCTCCCCTATCCTGCTGAGAATCAGTACTTTGTGTTTTACAAAGTACAACCCTCCAAAAATAGGAAGGTAAAAAAATAAGTATATAAGAATTGGGGGCTGGGGATTTAGCTCAGCGGCAAAAGCGCCTGCCTGGCAAGTGCAAGGTCGTGAGTTCGGTTCCCGGTACCGGAGAAAAACCTAAAAAAAAAAAAAAGAATTGTATTTCATTTAGGTTATTGTAGCTCTTTTGGCAAAGTAGTCTGAACTATGATTGGCAGTAAAGAAAAAATTAATAATTAATAATTTGTTAGTCTTTAAACCAACCTTTGCTCATACATGAATATCTTCAATACTAGACAATGGATAATTTGTCCCGTTTGCAAATGGACTAGGGTCTGCGTGTGGATTTTATTTGTGTGTAAGCTAAATCTTTCTACTATTATTTTAAGCTTAATTCTTGCAGCAAAATTTAGAGAATACCTCAGTGTTTATGTATCATAAAAAAGATCAAATTCTTCCTCCAGTATCCAGTAGAAATCCTACTGTGTGGTTCCATATAATTAGTATGTGTAAATGCCTCTGCGTGTCATGGACTATACTAAATAATTTATATATGCTACTGCATGGGAAATACATTGTTATCTCTGCAGTATAGGAGAGAAAGTGTATTAGCAGATTGCTTTTTCGTGCCTTAACCTTTTTTATTGTTAATCTATGTTGTTTTTTTTTTTTTTTTTTCTCAAATTGGTAGTTCAATTTATTTCAACATGGGCTGTTTGAATTGCTTCACAGGGATCGAAAATTGTACAATTTGGGACTGAAAGGCTACTATGTCAGAGGCAGTAGCAACAATGCAGGTAATATACTATAAAGCTATATAGCCCTTTTTACTAAAATTAAACCATGATACTGTATTTGTACTTTGTTATAATATTATATTAATTTACTAAGATAAAATTTGGTAAATGAGAAATAATTCTAATTGTAGACAGTCATTTTAGATGCAGATATATAAACCATGGCTCTAGAACAGAGACAGCAAACCTTTCAGAGCTTTCAGTGATCCAAACAGCCTGCTGTGGCATGGCTGTGGCATGTGTGCCGTAGGTTCACCACCACTGCCCTAGAATCTCTGTCAAAGCAGTTTTATTTCCTCACTTAATGTGCCCTCTTGCCCTGTGAAATGTTCCTTCCTGAGTTGTCACCATACGAGCAGCCTGGAATATGAAGTTGAAAAGTAGAGAACATGTCATTTCATCAGAATTTTATTATATAGGTAATGATTCAGGCTACATTTCAAGTGAATATTCACAAGGTGGCAAAGAGGCTGCCGTTTCATCTTGGCTAACTTTCCCATATAATAAACAGAACACAGTCTGTACACTGAGCCTCACTTTGGTATCTTTCAGACTTCCTGACCCCATTTGTCCTTCCATAGACCTTTTTATGTCTGGACACAGACAAAACCACGGCATGAGGTTAGAGGCCACAATCAACCCAAGTACAGTCTTTTCATAGTTACTTTTGCAAATCCTTTAACAGTGATGGATCAGGTTACTGCTTCTTGAGTCACACACTTGATTAGATGTTTGGTTTGGGTTGCAGTGCTATGCTGTATAAATAGGGCCTCTGTGAACACTGGGGTCCTGCTGAACATATGAAGGTACACATACTTCTACAGGACCGTAAAATTTAGTGGATTCATTTTCCCCATTTTGCTTTCTTCTGACCTTTCATACCTTCACTGAATGGAATAATGAGTGAAATTGCTTTCATTATTTTTTTAGTTAAATATCTTTTTACCTCCTTTTGGACCTATTTTAATAGAAGAACTGCACACATGTAATTTCTCTTATCAGTCTCCAACATGATTCACTATCCTGTTGCCTGAGATCAAGCTGGAATACAACTCAGCACTAATTTAGTATGCTAATAAGGAAAATGATTTTTGTTATCTCACATTATAAACAGTTAATAGAGCACTTGAATAGCATTTTTCCAAATTACTGATATAATCTATTAGATAGCATCTTTAGTCGCTTTCCTTGTCACTGAAACAAAATATCTGATACCCACAGCTTATAAGGAGAGATTTACTTGGGGTCACAGTTAAGAAGTTTCACCCCATGGTTGGCAAGCCCAGATGCAGAAATGCAATAGTGAAAGGGCCTGCTGTGGAGAGCAGCTGCTCACACTGTGGTGGTCAGGAGGCAGAGAGAGAAGAGAGGAACTGGAGAGGGAGATGACTTCTTTCAACCCACCCAACCTCCCAACAGCAAGTCAGATATAGTGCCCTGTAATCTGCCTTCCAAAAGCCCTACCTGTAAGCCGATGAAGGTGTTGGGGTACATTAAATATTAATCATAACATTCTGCTCTTGACCCCAAAAGATTCTGCATAGAAAATACATTCTGTTTATTTTGAAGAGTCACCAAAGTCCTAACAGTTCCAGCAGTGCTGAAAAGTTCAAGTCTCAAGTCTCTGAGACTCAGGGCAAATGTTTAGCTGAGTAAAAATTTTTAAGAATGAAAAAAAGTTACTTCCTTCCAATATCCAGTGGCGTAGGGTGGTAAAGATTCTCATTCTAAAAGGGAGAAACAGGATAGAAAGGAATGGAACCAAAGCAAGCCCAAAACCTTTCATGGCAAACTAAACCTTTTAGCTCTGTGTCTGGAACCTGGGGCAGGTTAAGCTCCAAAGGGCTGGGGCAGCCCCACCCTATGGAAATGCCAGTGGCAGCCTACATGGCTTATCTTCTGAGGTGATCCACTTAATGACAGCTTTGTGTTTTCCTCAGTAGACATTCCGCATTCCTGGCATCTCCAGTTACCTGGCATCTCCATTGCTCATTTTAGCTTTACTTTCATACCTTCATCCCTGCCCTCTCAGAGGCACACTGTCTGGCTTGTGAGGCCTTTTCAGATTTGCGTGGAAGCCTCCATGACTCTGTAACTCTGCATTTTTCCTGCCTGTAAAACCAGCACAACTTGGATGGCCCTAGCTAAGCAGACCTTGGATCTGGCCCCCTTAGCTCATGGCTATAGAGGCCTCTGATTACCTAGATAATTGAACTCAGAGAACCAATTCCCTGAGTGGCCCTACCGGAGCAAGTGACCCAGGAGCTCTCTTCTCCAATGAACACTTAACAGTTTTCACCCTTGATCCTGGAAGGGTGGTGTCTTGCTGATTCCTGGGATACTTCAAGGCATCTTTCCTGTTGTCCTCATGGAAAGTACTTGCCTTCTTTTTAATGCTAATCTTTTCACATCCATATTGTCCTTTGACCCAGCTTTGTAGAGCCTTTCTCTCTGGCGAAACTACAAACTTTGCATATCAATCAGTTCTGCTCTTTGCTCTTGATACTCTCTGTAAATCTGATTGACAGCAGCCAGCAAGTACCCATCTACAACCTGAACACTGGGCTGCTTTGACATTTCTCCACCAGATTAATCAGTCTGCTGCTGTTAATTTCAGTCTTCGCCAGAGTCTCAGGATATGGGCAAAATGTAAACGTGGACACAAATTCTGTGCCAGAAACACATTTCTGTAGCCAGGTTCCAAAAGCTTCTAAACCACTTGGTCAGGTAGTCACAGCAACTGCCTCACACATGGTGCCAAAGTCTGTCTTAGTCATTTTCTTGTTACTGGGACAATACCTGACACCCACACCGTGAAGGAAGAAAGTTTTAGTTGGGCTCACTGTTTTCACAGGTGTCAGTCCATAGTTGACTGGCTCTAGGCAGAAAGGACACTGTGGAAGGGCCTGGATAGAGGGTAGCTGCTCATTCCACCCATGGCAACAAGAAGCAGAGGGAAACAGGGTGAGCCGGGGAGAGGAGACACTTCCAGGCCACACATCCAGGGACCTGTGCCTTCCAGCCCGTCTTCATCTTCTAATGGCACGTTCAGCTACGAACTTGGTAGATTAGTACACTAATTACTATAGCACCCCCATGTTCCAGAAGCCCACCTTTGAACGCCGGAGGCTTGGGGAGGGGGCGTTCTAGGTCTGAACCATAACATATCCATAGTCCTTCTGGGGTAAAGTAGAATTTGTTGTTTCATAATGAATGCTTTTTCTATAAGATCTAGAATCGGGGAGCTTAAAAGAATTGTGGTTCTGTGATTTTCAGACTTTAAGTAGGACTATATAATACAGAGAGCTCTATCATAGAATCCCAAGACCTAAACCCCGTTGAATTAAAGCGTCTGTAACAGCCTGGAGATATGCACCTTTCTGATTAACACCCCTAACTTGTCTCCACAATCATGGCTTTAAATTCATTCATTTTACAGGTCAGGATGTGAAGATGTACATATTTCCCCGCAGTTAACTGCCCTTCTCTTCCAGCCTCAGTACTTCACACAGTGCCTGGCACTAAGCAGGTGCTCAGTTAGTGCAAATCAAGTGGGCAGCTGGGTTGATAGTGGCAGGCGGAGCCAGAAAAGAGGTGGAGCACTCTGCTTTCTTGCCTGTTCAGTGGCGGTTTTTGCTATTAGTCCATATTACCATCAGTTATTTTTATTTTCCTAAAAAAATTGGAACATGTGCATGGCTTTGGGCAAGTCATGTACACTGGATCTCAGGTTCTTTAAATGAGGCAAGACAGCCTGCCTGTAAGTGTTTTCTGGAACTAAGCTAACAAGTCCTGCTTGTAGGAGACGAGGCTACGGAGGAAGAGGAAGGTGGCTATTCCCATGGCACTGCAGAGTCTGCGGAAAGCAAGGGTGTGGACCTGGATGAAAGTGAACTTGATTCCGAGGCTGAACTCATGAGAAGTATGGGATTGCCACTTCAGTTTGGTAGGGTTTCTGAACACGACAATTTTGAGGCAAGTGTTAATGTACTTTTATTATTTCTGTTTCTTGATTTTCTCCATAAAATAGTATAAGGTATTAATTTCTTATCCCAAATCAAATCATTCATGTTTAGAACACTAGACCTCTTTGTAAATGTGCACATTAATAAGTTAATCAAAACTGCAGGTTGTGATAGGTCCCATATGTGACTTCTCCTCTGGGAACTTAGTGAAAATCACTTGTTTGCATAATAAAAAGCCCAGGATCAGCATTTGAGAGTATTTTGTTTGACTTATTTCAAAACAGATTGGATATTGTTTTCTTTTATAGACAATGAAGTGTGAAGTGTATTTTATATTTGAGTTACTATTTATCTCATGTAGGTATCTATGAATACTAGAAATAAAGTTAAAGTGAAGAAGAAGAAGAAGAAACTTCAGAAGAAGTACTTAGATGAAATTGTGCGAGGTTCTTGGAGAAAAGATGAAGAAGACGACCTTTTGCTTTCAGATGACCCATCCTCGGTTGAGCCGTATGAGACTACCAGGACATGTGAACTTCAGAGCAAGAAGGACATTGAAGCCGAAAATCTTCCTGTTGAAAATGCATTATCTCCAAACCTGGAAATCACAGAGATATGGGAAAAGTATTGGAATAAATACGGAGAAGGACTGTTGTGGCAAAGCTGGGAAGAGAAACATCCAGCTCAAACATGCTCTGAACCGTGGGACTTTCCTGGTACAAAGGAAGAGTGGGAACAGCATTATAGCCAACTTTACTGGTTTTATTGGGAACAATTTGAGTATTGGCGAGCTCAGGGCTGGACTTTTGATGCCTCACAAAGCTGTGATACAGATACTTGTGCCTCTAAAACAGAAGACAATAAAATAAATGAAGATAGCACAAAAATTGACTTAACATCTTTTCCGTCTTTAACTAACACAACTGATAAACAAAGCTCAGGTTCAAGTGATCATAGTGAAATACTTGATGGAATTAGTAATATAATTCTGAGTCCAGAGGGAGTAGAACAGAGCCAGTTAGATTCCCTAAGTTGTGATGGGCAGCTGAGTAAAGTTAGCGGTGGGAAAGTCTGCCCTGCTTCTGGCCAAAATGCACCATGTGACGGAGGAACCAAGGAAAGCAACTTCTCTGGGAGTAGAAGCACAGACCGGCCAGCTCAAGGTAAGGTTAGTTCATTTGCTCAGGAATGATTACCAGAATAAACATACTTCACTAAATACCACTAATCCTTTACGGTAGAGTTAAATACCAGCTATGTTTCATATTATAATAGTGAAAGTATTTAATTATTTTTAGTAATCTTATTTTTATATCATAGGTGGTTTATTACCTACTTGCAGTAATAGCGGTACTTGCAAATGGGCCTTAAAACTATTCTTTCCTCTTATACCTACCAGAGAAGGAAAATTTGCAAGCCTCTTGAAAAATCTAATTTAGAATAAGCTTGGAACTTGCACAGTTTTACAGGGCAGATGAATTAGACATTGGTTAACAGCATGGATTTGATGTCGGGCAAACATGAGTCCTGTGGAATTCCTTTGGAACAAGAAAATCTTGCTCTACAGAGAACGTTAACAGGGCATGATATTTATAACTGGACAGATTGATTTGAGGGTGTGGACTTGGCTGATTCCTAAATAATTTTTTTTTTAACATATTGTACAAACGAATGCAAATGTTAGAACTAAAATAAGCTGATGGAAAATGTGTTAAAAGTTCAGGTGGACTGAGAATGCTCTTGCTAAGAAGATTCTACTAACTAGTGGTACCAGGGAAGTGTGAAAAGAGGATATTTTTATGACTTGAATTTCATAAAATCGTGGCATCCTTGATGGTTGGTGCTAGAACAGTCTAGTAGAAAGTGATTTTTCTTCTTAGCCTTGTTGTGAAGCCAAAAGTTATTTTCTCCCTTTTTTAAAATCTCATTTTGTATTAGTCTTCTGATACTCTTCTACACATTCCTGATACATTTCTGTACTTACTGTAACCATAAAATCTGTGGTGTACATGTTGGAGAGTGTGTTGGCTCCTATGTCGCTCCCTTTGATTCTGTTTCCTCATTTTCCTAATTGTTTCCAACCACAGTAAGCCTTGTCCTAGTCTTTCTGCTGCCGGAGCCTTACTTACGTGCACAGGCTGGCCATTTCAGCGTGCCACTCCAGTGTGCCCGCTGTCTGGATCTGTGCTCCTGCCCTTCGTAGCTGACGGTGTGCTGAGTGTGTCCTCTGAGCGCTTCCTGTTGCCCACCCTGCGAGCACCTTCTCCCTTCTAGTCTCATTCACCCTCTCGTCACTCTGAAAATACGGGACAGAGAGAGACACGTGCCTCAGCTGGAGCCACCACAGTTAAAAGTGTTTTTTTAAAGGTAGCACCTGTCTTGGTCACCTCCACTGTTAGGGTATTAAAGCAAATAATTTTGCTTTGTAATGAAGAGATTTTTAATCAGAGTGATCATGCTATCTGTAATCAGTCATTTATTTTAAAATTCTTGAGAGTACAACTGCTAACAGCTATTGCAAAAGTAACCGTTACCTGATTTGTGTAGACTGAGGTACTTAGTAGTATTAGTTTGCTTCTTTAAACTACAGTCCTGTGTGGCTTAATGACGGCTCTGCATTCTGAGGAACGCATCGCTGGACTTCATTGCTGTGCAAGCAGTAGAGTGTCCTTAAGCCAAAACAGCTAAGATGTCACTAGATGATAAACTCCTCCTCTGCCCCGAGTATGTAAATATGTAGTCCATCGTTGACCATAACATCATTGTGCATCGTGATTATATAGTTAGATTGTAGGCACGCAGGTAGATGTATCCTGCTACTTCGCACGATGCACACAGTTCACTGCAGGAAGGGCACACATATTTTGAGGGTGTTTCTAAGTGTCGGAAAAGTTACCACACCGAGGAAAAGGCCATCGTAACATCCATGCCTTTTTAGAGTCACGGGAGTCTTCAGGAGCAAGCACAAGCAAAGGTAAAGCACACACCGGCCAGACTGATGGAGGTGAGAGTGAAGAAGATCCACCTGAGCGTAAGCCCAGCAAGCTCAAGAGGAGGTGAGTTGTGCGTTACTTCCTAGAAATGTGTGAGTGTAAGCATTTGTGTCCTTAAGCGAGCGCTTCTTCAATCTTTATGTGTGACGCTGCTAGTCATATAAGAAGTGGCAAGACCTACTAGTAAGACCTGGACCTTTTTTTTTCTTTTTTTTTCCCTTTTGGTACCGGGAATCAAACTCTAGACCTTGGCTTGCCAGGCAGGTGGCACGCCACTAAGCTTTACCCTGGCCCAAGACCCTGGACTTTTGGAGCCATTAGCAAATCCCAGCTCTTCCGTATGCACATCCTAAATTCATTTCTAGAATGTCTCACCTGTAAAATGGTCTTGATGCCTGTTTCTGTGCTAGGTCGTTGGGTAGACTGGAGCTAGCGCGGCAATGTCGGACCTGTAGTAGCCATCAGTGGGTTATAATTCTTACCTAATAATTCTATATTCCTCTCTAGAGTTCTGATTTTTTTCCCAAAAGTTCGGGTATATATTATCCTGTATTTTCATTGCTGAACGAGTTTTCACTATGAAGCTCTCATTGACTACGTAGGAACCCTGAGACAGAGATAAGGGTGTTGCTCAGTTACTGTGTAATGGTGGCTGCTGTAAAACTAGAGCTGAAACCAACACTGCGGCAGACGCTGTTCTCTGTTTACTACCAGTACACATGAAAGGTGCGATGTAAAGTAGAGTGTGGTCTGTGCAGTCAGAGTTTGCAAGGAAAGTAGTTCACTACAGGACACATAATTCATAAGATGATTTTATAACGTTCACCCAAAGAGTCAAATACAAAAGAGTGCAGGAGATCTGTCCACACACTAGAGACCCAGAGAATCCAGCTAAGGGCCTGCGTGCCACAGCAGTGTCCTGCATGAGTCCAGCTGAAGACCTAGAGTCCATAACAGTGTCCTCCGTGAGTCCAGCTGGAAGCCTGAAGCCCACAACAATGTCTCATGCAAGTCTGTTTCACGGATCTGCACTGGAAGGGCTGAAAGGCCAGTGGTAGAAGCAGGGAAGTCTGTGCCAGCCGGATGAAGGATCTGTGCCAACAGTCTGAGGGATCTGCACTGGAGCCAGGAAGTGACGCTCAAAGTGAGGACCAGAGCTCCCCCGACAATCAGTGTGACATGTTTCTCCAGGAGAGTCAACCACATACTGTCTTCCCCTCCAGAGTCAGGAAGTGATGCTCAAAATAGGGACCAGAGGTCCCCTAAAGTAAACCACAGTCGTTCTCAGCGACAACAAGGCCCTGAGGTCCTCCGACAGTGAGAACAGCCAAGTTCATATCAGGAAAGCCAGCATGACAAGCTCCTCCAGGAGAATCAGCAGCACACCATCTTCCCTTCCAGTTCTCTTTTTTATGTTACTGGCAGTAGTCCTCAGGTAGGCCTTCCACACCCAGCATCACGCTGATTCAATTTAGCTGGGTGTTACAAGTGAACCACCAGTTGTCAATCCACCACATAGGCAAATGTCAGTGGATAGAAAACATGGAAAGGTTGAATTATCCTTGGAGCCTTTTATTTCTCTGATAAGGTAAGAGGTTATCTACATAAGGTTTTTGTGCTCCATATAGCTTCTAGAAGAATAGTAAGCAAGCTCTGTAGCTGTAGTATCTTAGTACAAAAAAGCATGCTTCTACTGTAGCCCTCTACCTGATAGACATTGCTTATTGATTCTCTAGTTCTTAGGACTAAGTAGGTACTCCATAAAATATTCAGTGAGCTTAATTTCATTAGACTCCAACTTTGTAAAGATTCTCACCATGTTTTATATAGTTGGGGCTGTGATCAAGGTAGTGAGAGGTTTTAAAGGATACTCAGTGGATTCTTCTGGGTTGTGTAATATCCTGTATATCACTCCCAAGCTGATTCTTCATAATGACATTTTTTTCTTTTAAAAAAACATTTTTTATATTGACACTTCTCATCTTTCTGTGTTTGTTTTTATGAAGAACCTTTAGAGAGACCACTCTAAGAAACTGATTTCAGGCTGCATGCAGCCGTACCTGTTCCTTCCGAAGGAAAATGGGACAGTCTCTATGTACCTTGTTCAGCAACAGAGATAATTACTTGATGTGGTATAAAAATGATACTGTATTCCCAACTCCGCTAGGTACTTGGAATTATTTGGAAAACCCTGTTAAAGTACTTGCTTCCCCTGACTTCCTAGATGTGTGAACTGCGGTTGCTTATTGCTGTTTGCCTGAACTGGTAGGCTTTGGCGGTAACGGCTTATCACTGTTTACTTTTTAAAATTTATTTAGCCATGAACTGGACATCGATGAAAATACGGATTCAGACCTGGATGACAGTGGTTCCCTTCTAGGATTCAAGCATGGCTCAGGACAAAAGTAATTATTTATGAATATTGGTGTCTTTTAGAAGTCTTAACCACTTGGGTATTCCTATAGATAATAAATGATACTGTGTGTGATAGCGTTGCAGTGGTGCAGGGAGGACCCTGACTTCTCTTGTTGGTAAGAGTTGCAGCTGAGACACCGCCGCACCTTTGATGTGCTCCTGCGTTCAGTTGCACTTCGCGTTACCTGGTGTTACTCCCTCCCGTAGATACAGCAGCTGCAGCTCACAAAGGTGTGACTTGGTCAAGATCATGTCATTTTCCAGAGAATGGATTTAAACCCAGCTTTTGTAACTTCCAAGCTTGATTCTCACCTAGTTACATCTACCCTGGTGTGTATCTAAAGACCCTGGCAAACATGGCATGAAAAAGTCAAATCTGGAATAAACTTTTTCCTTATATTATCAGAGTAGTAAAGCGCGAATAAAAAATGAAAATCTTCCTTTCAGATCATTCCCATAGGTAGGCAGTTTTTAGAGTTTGGCATATCGCCTTCCAAATTTACTAGCGTATACACCGTTACTTCCCTTTCATAAACACAGAAATGGGATCTTGCTATACATATTGTGCAGTTTACTTTTCTCTCGACAGTGTACCACAAACAGCTTTCCTTGTTGGTACAACAGTATTTCCCTATCCTTTTAGGGGAGGGAGGTGTTGTGTTTAATTCACTATCCTGGTTAACAACATCTAGGTTATTTCCTGAGATCTGAGCATAATAATCCCTTTGCAGTACTTCTAGATTATTACATACACCTATTGTTTCCTTATTACAGCTAAGAGTATACCCTTGTGTGGATATACCAAAGTTTGTCCAACCACCTACCTGTTGAAGGATATTGGGAATGTTTTTAGTATTTTGCTATTAGAAATAAAATTGCTCGGCATATTACAGATGTGCACACCTTACCCAGCTAAACGAATCCTATTTTTGTTAGTTTATATCAGTGACCTAAACCATTACTAGTCTTGCATATTTCTTCCAGGTGTTGTGCTTTCATCTCTTACTGAAATTTAAATAGATAGGTATACATTATGAAGTCATCAGGAAGAAGGCATGGGGACTGTTTCACAATTGAGGTATAAATTAACTCCAAATTAGTTCAAAAGTATATGCTGATAATTACAATGCTGTAAGTAGTTTCTGAAGTTAGCTCCTTGAAGTACTTCCAGACATTTGTAGTTTGTATATGTAAGGCTAACAGTCATAAAGTTTAGCAGTATTAGTTTTTGGCAGAATTTATTGCTATCTACACATAATCTTAATTGAGGAACAGTTGTGTGGCTCTTGGTAGTATACCTTCATAAGATTCCTGTTTTTGTAACTGGGATTTAATTTACCTGTTGTCCTATTAGAGCGTTCAGTTCTGTTTATAGGGATAAAAGTTACTTTTTAATACAAATTTTCTAATACAGATAAAAGGAGTTAAGTGAGTCTTAATGTAGTCAAAGAATGCTTCAAGCAAATACATTGTAGAACTGGAAAAATTCAGATGATTGGATTAGGTATGCTTTTATCACTTCGTTAATAGAGATTTGTGTCTTGTAAATTCACATTAATCTAGGTTAAGAATTCAGTGACCACTAAGGGTAGTTTGAGCATGTCCTGATAAGAGCTTTGACTCTTGAGAAGAATTTTCCTAATAAGGTGATTGTTTTTGTTTCTTTTCTTTTTTTGGCTATTTCCTTATTGCAGTCCACTATGTATATTTTTACTTCCGTACATTAGAAATGTTATTTCTATCTTTGATGTTTCACATTTGCTTTAAAATTAACATAAAAGTCAAACCATAAACTCTTCTGTAATTTGTACTTGAACAATTTCGTAATTTAAGAAAATTGAAATGGTGACTAGTAATAGCATAAAACTAGTGAAAATTGTTAGCTTTCTTTTCTTTCCTCATTAGAAAACATCCTCTAGAATTTTAAAGTATGAATCACTTTTGATCTGGTCACAGATACGGTGGAATTCAAGATTTCAGTCATCGCCAGGTCAGGTATCTAGAGAAGAATGTGAAACACAAGTCAAAATATCTGGACATGCGCAGACACATGAAGGTGAAAAACAAACATACCTTCTTTCCTGAAGAATCAGAAAAGCCGGTTTTCAAGAGAAGCAAGGCTCTGAGTAAGGTACGTATGAATCTTGTTTTACACTGCTATAAAAAGATCTTATTTTGTGAGCATGACTGTTTAAAATTATTGTATTCAAGTGGGAAGCTTATTTGTACAAGATTTAAGGGTGCCTGCAATTCTTTTCCATTTGCTTCCTGAAGGCATATATTGTGTAAACTAGATTCTAAAAAACAGTGAGGCACTATGGAAAGACGGTGTTTGAAAGCTAAGGTAGTGGTGTCGAGAAAGATGAGTCGGAGTGCCTTGCCTGTGTAGTAACAGGCAGGGGCAAGGGAATTTCTAGTCTGTTCCCGCCTGAGTAGTGCCCTGATGGCCCGCATTCTGATACATGTAATACTATAGCAGTAGTTATGAGCTCGGCCCGGTAGCATGAACTATAAGGCTTTTTATTGTCTTACGTTTTAATCTGAAATATTCTTTTTTTTTTTTTTTTTTTTTTTTTTGGTTTTTCTCCGGTACCGGGAACCGAACTCACGACCTTGCACTTGCCAGGCAGGCGCTTCTGCCGCTGAGCTAAATCCCCAGCCCCTTAATCTGAAATATTCTAATCTCCTGTCTCAGACTTTGCTATACCTGCCACCCAAGTACTTGGGGAAAAAAAGGGATGAGAATATTGTTTGGTTTGAAGAGTTAGCCTTTTGTCTTATAGGATAAAAGGCACCTTAAGAAAGAAAAACAAAACAATGGAAAGGGATCAAAAGACGGATAGAGAGGGAAAGGAGGAAAGGGAAGGGGGATGAAAAAAGAAATTGTGCACATGTACCAACTCCCCACAAGGAATGTGAACATTGTGTACTTCAAATGTATCCTAATACGAACTTATTTTTATGAAAGCACCTTCTAATCCGCAGAACCTTGGTACAGTCATATCACCAACAGTTCCGTAGGGCAGGAAAACTAATCTCAGAATCCGAGATGACTTTGTTTTACCCTGAGTACATTATCCTGCTTGACTTCAGCATCATTATAAAAGTTGCTAAAAGTTACAGCTGGTTTTGTTTTTTATTAATTTCAGGTTGGCCAGGTGCTGCTTGTATTTTCATGAACATGTACTGGCCCTAGTTAATCTGAAAGGGACTGCCTGGTCAGTGCTGTAAGACCTCTCGTGACGTTCTGGATGCGCTAGTCCCCATGCGCTGTGTCCCTAGAGCTCTGATGAGGTACAGGAACCTTAGAAGAGCTTGAAACAGGAGTCCCTTCCCTCAGTAAATCTGAGTTTCCCTCAAAGCAGTGGTGATGAGCCTGTGGCACACATGTTTGTTTTTCTTTTAAGATAAAAGATGTTAACGTATGAGCGTTTTCTACACTAAAACTTCAGTATTCAGGTTGAATTGCAATGTTGGCACTTAGCAGTGAATGAGTGGATTTGGGGTTAGCACCATCGCTGTTCTAGGTGTTACCTGTCATGTATCCGCCACTCTCACTCTGATTACTTGCTCTTAGGAAGGTCCTGAACACCTGGTATGAAGAATGTTCCTGTTGTAGACCACACAAGGAGGTCTTATCGTCTGATCTTGGACCTTGTTAACGTTTCAGCACATAAACTTTTAGGGCTCATCCTGCTGGCCCTGCTGTTCATTAAAAGGCAGCGTTCTTCCCAAGATCGCACTGCTTTTACTTGTAAAGACAGACTGGCATTAGATCTTTTAGAGTTCATCCTTGGTACTACGTAACATTTAACATAGACCATTGCAGAAAGCTTTTGTAAGTTGAAATTGAAAACGGAAATTACTGACTTAAGTAGATGGCATTATGCAGTGATAGTAGATGTCATTTGTAACGATAATAGAACAGAACAGTTACACTGTTAGGAGCCTTTATGGAAAGCTACTGGCACAGTGTAGCTTTACCGCTTCGTGTTAATTTGTAGCAGGAAGTGCTTAATCTGACATTTTCTTTCCGAAAAATTCTTTAATAAGGTCATGGGATGCCCAGATAAGTTCCAATTAGCCCAGAATTACTCATTAGCTTGTGTGATGCAGTATACTTCTCAGAACTAGTAATTATGACAGCTTGTAAGTCTAGGCACAAGTGGTAGAGGTGGGGAAGACTCCTTGTAGTTTAAAATTAATTCATGATCATGATGTCATCTTAAAATTTCAGGTGGAAAAATTTCTAAAACGGATTAGTGAACCAGTGGCTGAGGAAGCATCACAGGAGTCATTTTCTCACGACAACATACAAGACAGTTGCACCAGCAGTGATTCGGAGAAACAGGACGTGTCTGTGAAAGCTGATGACCTAATGGAAACTAGAAGTCTGGGACCCGTGAAGTGTCAGGCCAGCTCTTCGGCCAGTGAGCCCGAGACAGAAAAGAACGAGCCAGACAGCCCAATAGCGGCTGTTCCAGAGAAGCAGAGCTGTGTTGCTCAGGAAACACGAGAGTCTCCCCAGGTAGACACTAAAGGTAAGATTAAATCTGCTTCAGCTGCTAGCGGATTTTGATAAGTGTACTTTCTCTTTCATTTGTGTTTTCTTAGTTCTCCCTTTTGAATCACCTGTACCTTAGGATTTATTGCTGCCTTACTTTAAGTGGGGAGAAGGCAGAGTAAGTGTAAGTGCGCTCATTGGCTGTGACTTCCCACCCCCAGCACTCTCCTCTGAGCCCACAGAGCACAGCACAGAGGGCAAGCGTGTGAGAAGGCTGCATTGGAGAACTGACCTCAGAGCTTGGACTCTGCTGCCGCTCTGTTCCCGTGGGCGGAAGGTGGCCTGTCCTTGAAATTTGGTGTAGCACAGGTTTTGTTTTTGTGGATACTTCATTTATTGTTGTTGTTGATGGTTTGTTTTCCTGATACATTGATTTGAAGTATGCACAGTAGTTGGCACTAATAAATGAAAAAGAGCAATTTCATTTTATGTCCTCTTGTACTATTTGAATTTTTTATACAAAAATTCCTTTAGAATTCCAAATAACAATTGTATCCAGTAGAACATAGAAGTGCTTTTTTAAAACCTTGTCATTTGCTGTCATATTCAGGTTATTGAACTCTTTCAGGCTTGTCCTCATGCAACAACCGTACCTATGGTGATCTTCCATCATTTCTTTCTCAATACAGTATTAAAGAAAGTACTTTATTTGAGGTTTGATCCTTTTTTTCTTTCTTCGGATGTGAATGTGTACCTGTAGTCTTCATATCATATTTCTTTCCTTTTGTTAACACCATACTTAGGGTAGTTTTGTGGGTTTTTTGTTTTTTTTTTTTTTTTTTTTTGGTTTTTCTCCGGTACCGGGAACCGAACTCACGACCTTGCGCTTGCCAGGCAGGCGCTTTGCCACTGAGCTAAATCCCCAGCCCAGGGTAGTTTTGTTTTGTTTTGTTTTTTTCTTAATCATTGTTACAACAACGGATGTTTGTGTTAATAACACTTGGAAATTTCTAAAATATTTTCTGGTATTCTTATTTAATGTGTAGGATAGCCCCATGGGTACGTGGTTTATTCTCTATTCTATAAATACAGAAGTAGCTCAGAGAAATTAAAAAGTGGCCAACGAAAGTAGCTTAGCCAGAACTCAGTACCTAGTTCTCTGATTCCTAAATCCCATACTTCCATAAGCAACAGTTGCTATAACACTAGTCATTTGTATTTGGACGATGTTGATTATCAGAGTAATCTGAGGAATTCCGGCATTTAGTACTTGGGTGACGTAACATTAGATCATGTACCGGATAGTCTTACACAACAAAGAATTGTCATTGTCACCCAAACTTACCATCATTGCCTCTGTTGAAAAACACCACAGTTTACTTTTGACGGTTTTTGCTGCTTGCCGTGATCTAGTAACCGTATTAATACGTAGTCCTGTCCTTGAGGACCATGTATAGATGTAATAAACGTTCATTCTTCGTCAACTATGATGTCTTATTTTTATCCCTAACTGTGACAGCACTCATCCTTCTATGGTACTAAATCGGCTTGAAACTGAAGCCAGATAGTCAAAACTGGTGGTAATTTGGGGTCTTACCTAGTCTGCGAGTGATGGAGACCCGCTCCTGCAGAACGGAGCTACTGGCCTGTGTTCCGGTTGGTGAGAGCCCGTGTGTCTCCTGAGGTGAACGTACTTCTGCCGGCTTGAGCCACTGGTGACACATGCACGCCTGTCCCGTCCAGCAGCTTGAGCCACTGGTGGTTCAAATGGATCTAGTCACTTTTACTGGTCTTTTTAGTAAAAAACTCATAAAAAGTCTATAAATGAACTAAATGTAGTTATTGCTTGAATTTTAATAATTACTGCTCTAATATAAATACTAATCTATTCATGTCAATTAAAAATTACTATAATCAAGTTTATTTTATTAAATTAAAAGAACTTTATATTTGTGAAGCTTATCAATAATTAATTCTCTAAACTTTAACATGGAAATCTTACAAGGACATACCCTACTGTTGGTGTGTATAATACGCGTTTACAAAGGCTATCCCACAAGTTAGCTGGGTTACAATTATTTCATACCACTTTAGCGTTTTCCTTAAGCAACTGTAATATGATGACAGCTGGTCTGCTGAATCAACGCCTTTCTTTGTATTACCGTAATCAAAGACCCCCTAAGGAGCAGGACCAGCCATGACATGAAACAGGCATGCATGTACCACCTGTGGTTCAAGCCAGTGGGAAATACCAAATTCAGATTGGAGCCACCAGCAGTGAGACATTTGAATGACAACTCCTTTGTGAATTGTTAATATGGCCAAGGCTGAGCTTAATCATTCCTTGCAAGGTTGTGTTTTGAAGAAGTGAGAAACATTTACATTTTAAAATTCATCAACTAAGCCAGTGTTGTGGCCGACAGAAGCAGGAGCTTTTATACCTGTACTGTGCAGTTTGAGTATCCCTTGTCTGAAGTGCTTGTGACCAGATGAACTTGGGGGTGTGGATTTCTTCAGGATGCTAAGATAGTCTGGGGGTAAGGCTGAAGTCTTAGCACAGAGTTCAGGTGTGTTTCATTGCCCTGTGGACACATAATTTCATGCTGGGTTTTTGGTGCATCTGAGTTTTGGCTACAGCTGGTCAGATGAGGTCAGGTATCCATTTGTGTCCTATCAAAGCTAAGTGTTCAGATTTGGAGAAGTGTAGAATTTCCGGTTGGGGAAGCTTACCCTGTATCTTTGTCAGTACTGTAAATGAAATACATAAAATGCAGTTCACTAATCAATTCTTTGTGTAGAAATACAGAATCGGTGCTTACACAGCCTGGGTCGCTTTTCCAGTTTCAGTCACTCAGTAGCAAAATGGAGGCAGAGGTATAAAACGTTTTGATGACTCTCCTTTGTCGCCGGGTGTGTTGTTACATACATGTTCTGGAATATGGTCTAAAATTGTAATTGTTTGATATGGCTGCATTTTTAGGTAAAGTTCCCCATGGTTTTCTTTTTTAGTAGTGAGCATTTATATCCTTTGATTTTATTTTAGCTGAAATTAAAAGGAAGAAAAAGAAGAAAAATAAGAACAGAAAGACAAGTGGCATACCTCCTGAGATAGCTGCTGTTCCTGAGCTGATTAAGTACTGGGCCCAGAGATACAGGCTCTTCTCCCGTTTTGATGATGGGATTAAGTTAGATAGAGGTAAGGTATATGTGTATTTCTTAATTTTATTTTGGAATTTCTCAGTTTACGGAAAAGTTGCAAGAATTTTCATTCCCCTTTTAACAAGATTCATCTGTTTTCAACATTTTAGTACATTTACTGTATCATTCTCTGAGGATCTTTCTCCTGATCCAGTTGGACACATACAGTATTTGCTAAGAACAAGGGTATTTTTATGTTATTTCTACAGTCCAGACCTTCATTTGTTCAGTTGTCCTGTCATGTCCACCTATTTGTTGTTCTTTTTTTCTTTCTTTTTGTCAGTTATTTGAGGCAGGGTCTCACTGTGTATTTTAGGCTGGCCTCGAAAACATAGTGATCTTCCTGCCTCAGCCTCCCAAATGCTGGGGTTATAGGCATGCATCATCTCATCCTGCTTCCCGTCATGTCCTTTAAAGAATTTTTTTTCTTCAAGTATAGGATCGTGTGTTGCATTTAGTTTTCGTGTTTCTTTCACTGTCTTTAATCTGGACTGGTAGATTGGTTTTAGGGGGTTTTTGTTGCTGCTCTACTGCTGGAGACCCAGGACTTCAGCCTTGCCAAGTGAAGCACTAACCCAACGAGCTACCCCCTCAGCCCTGCTTGGATATTTTCTAAAGGGGTGATGGCCGGTTATTGTATCTAGAATATCTGTCAATTTGGATATATATGTATTTCTAAAACTTCCAGATAGATTTAATATGTGTTTGTAGCATTTTAGGATACATAGCAAAAATAACTGATAGATTATTAAAAAGAAATCTGGTGAAGAAATACCTAATGCAGAAAGTTATATTTAACTAACTCTGGAAACTTTGAGTTCTTTCTTGAGTGTTGATGGAATTTCAGGGACTCTCTGAACCTCTTATAATAATTTACAAGCTGTCATGTATTGAGGAAAGTACATAGGAGTTTATTAGAAGAAGTAAGACTAGGAAAAACTTTAAATTCTGTGTAATGAGTTGATACTCTTACTCTTCCAGTAATGAGGAGCCATGTAAAGTTTTAGTAAGGGATGAGAAGGGGAAAATTGGCTCACCTTTTGTTCAGAGAAATGTCTCTCTGGAAAAATGCTCATTTTTTCTGCTGGGAAAGGGGAGCAATATTCCGTTTCTTCTGGAGTGGTCCAGGACCTTATTTCTGATAATGGTGAGGGTTCTGCTACTCCTGCCTTACTTCTGCAACCATTTACTGTCAGCTCCTTGCTTTTTCTGACTCCTAAGAACATGCAGGTTTTTTCCAGTGTTCTGTATAAATCTAGGTGAGTGCTTCTCCATTAGGAATGAAATAATTGGGGAACTTGTTGGAGCCTAGGGAGCGAGCCAACTGGAAAAGCTGACTTTCCATTTTCCATAGTAGGTAAGCAGCGGTTAGTGTCTGAAACAGCAAATCAGTGCTGCATGTAGTTACTGGAAAGATGAGGGTATGTTGTGAAGAACTGGGTTAAAAATTGGAGTGCTTACTTCTATAGAAATTAGAAATGGGAATGTAGAACTTTTCTTTAAAACTCGGTAACTGTATAACTTTTAGAAAGAGAAAACTAAGGTTTTGCAAGTATGTTGCAAGTAATACTGTAGCAATGTGTGCTATTAACATGCGTGACTTGGTTTCTTGAAATTGAACATCTCAACAAATGTCCTTCCTTTGCAGAGGGCTGGTTTTCAGTCACCCCTGAAAAGATCGCCGAACACATTGCTGGCCGTGTCAGTCAGTGCGAGTGGGACGTTGTGGTGGACGCATTCTGTGGGGTTGGGGGAAACACCATTCAGTTTGCCTTAACAGGGAAAAGAGGTAATAGCCATCAACGGAAGAAAACTTTCATTTGCAGTTTATTCACTGTATATGTAATTTTTATTTTAATCTGTCTTTGCTGAGATTATATAATAATTTCAAACCAAATGGTTAAAATAGTAGCTTGTATACATTAGTTATACAGTTTGTATCACATACTGGTATAAGTAGTGAGTATGTACTAATATATTTAGTCAGCAGTACTGTGAAATTTGTATTTTACCATCTGCTTTTCACAGATAGATTGAGACATTAAGAGAGGAGGTGTAATTGACACAAGAGTATACAGACACTCCTGCTAACTGCTGGAGCCAAGATCACAACATCGTGTAAAACCAAACGTACTAAAACTGTGCTTCAGAAGAAAAGAACGCTGGACAGGGAGTGCCCGCCTTGCCCTTGGCCACTGTCCTTACGACTTTGCCCATCCTTCAACCCTAGTTTAAAGGAGACATTGAAGGAGCTCTGTATACCTTTCTTCATACACTACACTAAGAATCTAAAAATTCTTTAAGTACATTTTGTAACATCCTCATGATCGTTCAACTTTGGAATTAGAAGAAAGAAAACCTCCATTACTGTATCTACCACTAGCTGTGTCAAACAGGCAGTGTGCTTTTTCCTAGGAGAAAGAAGACTTCAAAGACATGCGACATTCTGCCCAGAGTCATGTACCTGAGTCTTGAAGCTAGGGCCGGTTTCTACTCAGTTTTTTCTGACAGTATCTTTGTCATTTTTAAAGACATGCGTTACCGAGTCATACTCTGAACATGCTGATTTTTTTTCAATATCTTCATAGTATACGTATCAATCAGTAATTGTACCTGTTTCACCAGATTTTAGCAGAATCAGTAATTTATTCGTAGAAGTTTGTAATGTTAACTAGGAAAGCGTAATACAGTTCTGGAAATCATAGTATGGAAGTAAATCTACCATTGATTGTAAGACCAGCACTGATAAAATGTGGCTACTATTTAGTTACTGCTTTGCTCGAGGCATGATGTTTGTTAACTTTATATGGTCTGACTGCCTAGATAAAAGCTGTTTTTCTTACTACCAGAATAATAATCTTCTTGTTTCCCCTGAGTTCATTGTGTGTGCTCAGTAAATCTCTTCTCCGACTTTGCCAGATAAGCCATTCTTAACCATTCAGATGAGCAGACACTGCCTGGAAATGATTTTTCCTCAGGTTGTAAAAGTAGCATTTGTTTTAGCTTTATATTGTAACACAGTGGTTAAAATACATGCCCCTTAATAAGGTAGCAAATAGATCTGGAAAGTGTCTTGAGATAGAAACAGTTGAAAATCGTACCTGTGTACTTCCGTAAGTAGGGATCTGGTGGCAAGGCTTTCTAGAGCTTAGTGCCCGTTTGTAAAGGAAGCTCTCAAAGGTGGGTGCCGAGCGGACAGGAGACCACTTCTGTGTCCTCACAGGCCAGCTCCCTTCTCAGCCCAGGTGTCACGCAGCCTCCACCCTTGTAGAGTGCCAGCCTCTGAGAAGAAGAGGCAGAGTGCCCACCCTGAACCTTCCCAGTGCTTCCATGGCCTGACTGCTGTGACACTGGAAGCCTGGGAATCTGGCAGCACGTTCAGTGTGGTGGTGTCCCACGACCTGCTCCGCAAACCAGAAATGGTCACTGATCGTGATCTGAGAACGTTAGTTGTATTCTTCCCCAAATCCGTCTGCAGTAGTTGAGCTGACCACATTATGGCAAGGAATTCAGACCAGTTACAGAGTAACTGCTGTTGCGTGTTTGGTGTACATGCACACAGAGTCACACTGCCCTGTTCTGAATTCCCCACCGTAATGTATGCGTGTGTTCCTATGTGCACACGAGAAAATGGCTTTTGTATATAATTGACATCCCTTTTGTCTCTACTCAGTTGTTGTCAGTGATTCGTCAGTCACTGGCGAATACCGACTGTGTGTTTGCTGTTGATGATTTTTCTCATCTTTCAGTGACGGCAGTAGTTCAGCATTAGTACTTCCCAGTAGGGCTTTCCGTCATGTGGAATGTCCTTTGCCCGTGCTGTCCTACACGGCAGCCACCCGGTACAAGGAGGTCGTGAGCCTTGGACATCTGACCATGTGGATGAGGGTCTAACTTCTTCGTAATATGATTTCATTTTAATCAACTTAGAGGTGATTGTCGTGTGTGGCTAGTAGCTCCCATTTTTGGACAACACAGTCTCAGCAGTATCGTCAGACGTTCGTTAGCATTTCTTTTGTGTGGTAGAGTTCTGTCTTGGTCACTGTCATTATCACTGAGACACAGCCCCTGGCACCCACAACTTCAAGAAGGAAGGGTTTATTTTTGGCTCACAGCTGACAGAGGTTTCAGGCCATAGTGTACTGGCACCAGAGCAGGATAGAGACACGTACTGGAGAAATGGCGCGCAGCACAGTGCCAGGGAAGCAGAGCAAAGGGAGGACTGGGGGAGTGAGATCGCCCCTCCCAGGTCACACCCCCAGCCTTCCTCCAGCCAGACTCCACCTCCTGACAGCCAGTCCTAACCGCCCTGATAGTCCCGTCACATTCCAGCAGCCCCGCGTTTGAGCACATGAAACTCTGGGGAGACATCTAGATACAAATGATAGCGGGTACTTACGGGTACTTACATGCTGTTAGGCCTAAAACCAGGGTTGGCCTCCAAAAGAAATAGAGGAGAAAATAGGACAACTTGAGTAGATATGACATTGAAAGTGACTTTTTCTTTTCAACTTTTGGTGTTGTCAGCATATTTTCTCATCTGCATCTGAACTATAAAAGTAGATTAAGCAGCTGAAAATCTTTCCTCATAAATGTGAATGCTAGTTTATTTACAGTGCAAAAGTAGCATTGTAAATGCCTGGTTTTGCAGTATATGACTGGTGCTTCGTATAATAATTCAGTACATTACTTCTCAAATGTTAACAAATGTTGAAACTAGCATTTTCTGGAAAAGAGCTACATTTCCATGGAAACTGCTACGTTACATTGAGCCCTTTCGTGTGTAGAATACTGTCTTCACACACTTGAGTTCTTGTAGGCCCAATGGAGTAATTTACTGTAGATATGAGGGAACTAATTAATGTTTCCTTTGCTAATTATGAAAGTGCAGTAGATTAAATGAAAGCCCAGCAGGGAAAACATGATACTGCCTCCTTCCTCTACCTGAAAGTGTCTCTGCAAACATCAGCAGTTGTCTTTGCATTTCTTATTCATAACCTTGCTGTATAGAGTTGTAAAAATACATTTTATTTTGGGTTTCTGTAGAAGTTACTAAATTTGCCTTCCTTTAGGCTTGGACTCATTTCACGGAAATTCTCCTTCTCTCAAAGCTAGCAAGAGGTTTTACGTGTCGGCAGTGGCCTTCGTAAGCAAGCGTTTGCTGCTTGGGTTGTAGCTAGCACAGCAAAGGCTGAGCTCATAGTTGCCTTGTAGGTACCTTAAGGTAGCAGTTGCCACTTACTTAGGTGCAGCTGGCTGAGGCAGAAAACTTTGAAGCCAGTTCTTTCAGTGACAGTTTCTTGGTCACTGAAAATTTAACTAAAATCTCTGGTACAGGTAACCAAATGTTTCTTAGTCTTTAAAAAATGTTCTCTTAGAGAAGATAAACAGACTACTATAAAAATGAACTCTTTGTCACTAATAATAGGTATCAACTGACATTTTTCTTTTCCCATTTTTAGTGATTGCCATTGATATCGACCCTGTTAAGATTGATCTTGCTCGCAACAATGCAGAAGTTTATGGAATAGCGGATAAGATAGAGTTCATCTGCGGAGACTTCCTGCTGCTGGCTCCTACTTTAAAGGCTGATGTTGTCTTCCTCAGCCCACCTTGGGGAGGGCCAGATTATGCTACTGCGGAGACCTTCGACATTAGGACGATGATGTGTCCTGATGGATATCCTTTGCAAGTCCTGAGAGTTTAGTCAGTGCTTGTGCAGAGGAAGGGGAGTGTGTGTGTGACAGTGAGAAGTTGGTGAAGGGAGTAGCATTTGATAGATTCCAGGGCTTTTTGTACACAAATATGTAAAAGTGGTGTAGTTGATCTCCAAAAGTAATGGCAAGCATGAAATAATATGTCCCTGGAACGCTGTCTAATTACACTAATGTAAAATGAGTAGAATGCATTGTATGCAAATGGAGAGTTTCTTCACAGCCTATCCCTGGAATCACTGGGTGACCATTGCATAACTGTTCTTCAGTTCTCACGGACTTGGGCTGTTTTGCTGAGTGTCCTGATTTTTTTTTTTTGCTGGAAGGAGGCAGTATCATGCTTTCCTTTTCCCTGTTCTATTCTGAGTTAGGAAATGACTGAAAAAGTTTCTGTTCCTGACTTTTGGCTGTCTCCCACTGGGATAACTTAGTAAACAGGTTTGACTTCTCCTGAACTCTGACCTGTCAGGGACTCTTCCGCTGAAGCACAGATCTCATATTTCATTCTCTTTTAGGTGCCGTGCAGTGATGGTGACCCTTTCAGAGCTTTCAGTGATACAAGTAGCCTGTTGCAGCACATATGCCATTGGATCACCACCACTGCATTAAAGAATTTAAATTTGTGCCCTTCACTACATAGCAGAATATGTTTGCATTCTGATAAGTAAAGAACATCACTTTTTGTAAAGAATATTAACTTTTTGATCAGAAATAAATGGCTTCTTTTTCTTTAACTGCTTTCCACCTTTGAAATTTTCAGGCTTTCTCAGAAGATTACTAATAATATTGTTTATTTTCTTCCAAGAAATGCTGATATTGACCAGGTAAGCTATTACTGGAGACCTTCTATGGGCCTCTGGCTTAAGTCTTTCAAAGAATGAGCACAATAAAGGTAGGACATTTCTTACCTCAGAGCTACGCATGAGAAGTCCCTGGCTTATTAACTGTTATTAGCAACTGCAAGTGCCTGCAGTTAGATCTGTGTCTGTTACGTCCCGTTCATCTCCATAGCGCTGGTATATGTGGACACAAATAAAACGTGCTAGACTTGAGGACAGTGGAGTATGTTGCATTTCACATGCTGCATTGCTCAACTACTACCCAGTGTCTGCCTTCACTGAAGCATCCCTTGAGAATAGAGTTTTAAGTATTCCTGAAGATAGCCTAGCCAGAGTTACTGTTTCAGACAAGACCTTCCTTTCGGCCAGGACTAATTCTTAAATATATTGCGATTAGTTTCTCAACTCTGTTCTCACCACCTCTTACTTGTTCTGGGATTTCTATTATGCATTGTCTTTCTGTATCTCTATTTTCTAGTATTTTGGAGCTCCGTTTTTTCCTTCTAGACTATCTCAGTCTAGTTTTTCAGTTCAGGTATGTCCAATAGCTTATCTGTGTGTGTGTGTATGTGTGTGAGAGAGAGCACGCACACACTGCCTGTGTTTTTGCTGTCACAACTAAGAATTGTATAGTTTTAACTGAATGGCTTTTAAAAGCCATTGATAGCCTGATACACTTAGAAAAATTTTCTCTGATTTATTTTCTGATTTATTTGTATGGGACCCAAGCATAACTACTTTAAAGCTTCCCAAGTAATCGTAATGTGCTCCAGCATTGGGATTCTCTGGGTTAAAAGAAGAATAAATGAAATTTACTGAGCTCTTATTCTTTGACTTAACTGGAAATGAAATTTGAACTTTCTAGACATTAGGCCTCCTAAAATAGTATGTTACACCATTTATGCATGTAAAAAAGCACTGTCCCACACATGAGTTTTTAATATCAGACTTGGTATTAGAACTATCACTACTCACATGACTCCTCTATTTCTAGACTTCCAAATAAGGCTGAGCTGATACCATAATTACTAGTGTTCTCGTAATAAGCATTGTGTTCCATTACCATCACGGAGCAGGCCGCATGGTATTTGCTGAGCTATATCATCATCCTTAGATTACACATGATAGGCTCATTTCGGTAAATAACAATACGTAAGTCACTGCTTCCCATGAAAGTGTCAGCTAGTTAACATTCCACAAGGAGTGTTTTCACTTTGCGTGTGTGCATGTGGCTTACTGTAAAAACCTCTCAGGGTTCGGGTTGGTGTTTCATTCATGTCTCCTGCCTCTAGAGGGAGTAAAGACACTAAAAAATAACAGTCGGAAACTTGTGAGATTTCAAGTACATTATTTTGTGTGGTATTGGATTTAGATGAAATTACAGTGGGAAATCGACTTTTTCTTCTTAAAACAAAGGAAATGTCACCATAGGTGGGATGTTTAAAATGAGAGGAGAGGGGCTGGGGATTTAGCTCAGCGGCAAAGCGCCTGCCTGGCAAGCGCAAGGTCGTGAGTTCGGTTCCTGGTACCGGAGAAAAACCAAAAAAAAAAAAAAAAAAAAGATAAAATGAGAGGAGACACTACCACAGGAGTGAGAGAAGTAAGTGTTAAGGAGCACAGAGCGCCCCCAAAACGTGAACTTAGAAGATCTGCAGCTGGGTGGCCAGCTGAGTCTGCGGTTTGAAATTAAGCCTGCATTTCCCTATAGGAAGGCCTGTAGGAGACACTGAACTTTCTGTCCAGGGAGGTTATCCTCTGGGTAGTGCTTACATTGCCCTAAGCTGAGTGTGGGCTCGATACAAATACAGCTTGTCTTGAAGTCATTTCTTGTATGAAATATTGCTAATTTTTTTCTCTGTGTCCAGTGAACTATTTCTCTAGGTCCCCTATTACCTTGATCTCCAACTCCCTTTTAATTTGGGGGGATTGGGGCTGGGGATTTAGCTCAGCGGCAAAAGCGCCTGCCTGGCAAGCGCAAGGTCGTGAGTTCGGTTCCCGGTACCGGAGAAAAACCAAAAAAAAAAAAAAATAATAATAATTTGGGGGGATTATTCCTGGACACATCTCCCGTGCTATCCATCTTCTCTCTGTCAAACCCAAGAACTAAATAACGTGAAAAATCTGAAATGCTCTTTGATTGTAAGACATATCTCGTTTTCTAAATCACAGGTGAAAGCTGGGACTCAGTTCAAAGAGCCCAGGATAAACGTATTTATAACTCCTGTCGCTGTGTCTTGCTGCGCTGTCCTGCATTTCTTTCCTTTGACAGCCGTAGAATTCCAGCGCAGATTCCAGTTCTAGCTTTGGGTTTGCTGTGCTTTGCAGACATGAGAAGTTTCTCTTTGAAGTGGTAAACAGTACGGAGCGAGGCCTCTGGGCAGGCCAGCGTAGCTCCTCTCCAGGTGGAAGCTGCACGAAGCAGTTCCCAAGCACCACCTCTGTAAAGTCAGTGTGGGTGGAGTCTAACATGACGGGTTTTTCTCTTAGCCAGACCCTGGAATGATAAGAGGAGGAGCCCCTGGTCTGTTTGATAACAGATAAGGAGCTCCTTATCCTTGTTTAGTTTCCTAACTAGTTGTAACTAGCTTCAGAAAATTGATAGCTTTTGTACTTTTCAGTTCAAATTAAGTCACTTGGATTTGTATATTCCTTCATCTCAATACAGAGGACAAAGGTAACGTTGAGTGGAATCCCCAAGAATTATTGTTTAAAAATAAGGCGGAGGCCTTCCGTGTGGTAATTCACCAGCCTTGCCTGACATACTCCACTTTGTGTCTTTCGGTAGACATCCTGGTAATAGTTGGGCCAAACCCACCTATTTTATTTGCTCTTAAAGGGGAGAGTACTACATTCGTGGGGTGTTTAGGTGAAGCATCCTATGATTGTTATCTTTAAGTGAGAGATTGGTGTTAGATTTAATAAAAGGAACTGTCTCTTTCTAGTTGGCAGAGTTCCCTAGGCTCCCATTAGTGTTTCAGATTCCATTCCATGGGGTGCTCAGTGGTAGTTCGGGTTCTCAGCATGCGCAGAACCCTAGGTTCAATCCCTAGCGTCAGGAAAGGAAGAAAAGTAGAGGGAGGAAGGACGGTGGGACGAGTGAATTAACTCCATGTCATCATGTCTGTGGAGAGAAAAGTGCCTAATTGTGGTAATCGTCATGCTTTTAATAGTTGTTTGGTTTGCTAGGGAATCGAGCCCAGGGACATGCGCATGCTACGCAACTACCGCACCCCTGAGCTCCAGCTGTAGCCGCAATAGTTTTATTTTTATTGATCGGCTAACTGGTGGGAGGTAGGTAGATACAAGGTCCTTTTTTATTGGCAACATGTCCAAAACTTACCATACAGAAGAAAGAGTCATGCATTTGAATAATTAGAACCATTTATAAATAAAAGAATCAGCCAATATCTTCAATAATAATTTAAATCCAACTCTTAGCATTTTTAGTAGTTTTTGGCTAAATACAGTAAACAATTACCACAGATTTTATTTTAAGTATTCTAAGTAATCATAGTATCTATTTAATAAGCAGAAAATTAGTACCTTCATTTTTCTAAATTTCAGAATGAGTAAAACTCAGTATCAAAAGTGTCCTGAATTACTGCTGTGAAATCTGGTCTAATGGCAGTTTTTGTATAGCTGAAACTGCACCACATAGGAAGTACTGTGAGAACACAATAAAGCTGCAATTACCACATAGGAAATGTGGTTCCATGGGGTGCTCCGTGGTAGTCCGGGTTCTCAGCATGCACAGAACCCTCGGTCAATCCCTGGCGTCAGGAAAGAAAAGGAAAGGAAGAAAAGTAACGGGAGGAAGTGTTGAACCTGAGGTTCAAACAGTACTTACTGTGTGGTCCAGGAGAAGGAGGGCCTGTCGTCAGGTTCAGGAAGCAGAGGGGAGAGAGCAGAAGGGGGCTGAGGTCTCCGCACCGGGTTCTGGTGCACGTGGGCACTGCTGGTGCTGCAGCGCCTGAGCCTGGAAGCAGCCAGCCCTTTCAGCTCAGAGCACACAAGGGCATGTGCCGACGAACAGTGTGCGGCCTTTTACACACACACACACACACGCCCCACAGGACTTCAGCAGTGTTTCCTCTGTGAGTGGCATACTTGGGGCTCGTAGCGTTCCTCTGCACATTTCACTGGATCGTTGTAACACCCTGGAGTGTATGCGTGTCAGGCTGTCAGACTGATTTTATTGATGCGTAAACCGGGGAAGTTTAGTGATCTGCGTCGCCATTCTGCTACAGTGGCAGCATTACCTCACTCTCTCCCACTGACAGCATCTTCAGTGCCAGGAAGAAACACGCTCACCTCCTGTTGCAGCAGTAACTCCCCGTGAGACTCAGGCAGTGACTAGGATGTGACGTAGCAAGAAGAGCAAAGGCGTTCTGAAATAATTCCTGCTGAATCAGCCCTGGTGCACTCCCGCTTGGTGAGAGAGAGGGCTGGAAATGCGTGACGCTGTGGAAGCACTCGTTGGCTGAGCCGTACCTGCTCCAATACTCTCTTACCTCTTCGAGGTGCTGGTGCCCAGGTCTCCAGATCAACTCTGTTCTTAGTAAAATAGCTGTAATTGTGTTGCCGTTTAGGATAAACCTGTGATCAGTTCCTAATACTTCTTGGCTGGCCTTCCCCTCGGAGAAGTGATGCTGTACAGGTAGAGTAGTGTCGTGCGCTCTTGTAGTGTGGAACCCACATTCTCTAGGGAAGCTGTGAAGCTGACAGGCCTCGTAAGTCAGGTGAGAAGACAAAGGCAGTTTTGCTGAAGTGATCTGAGCATAAGCTTGTGTTTCCTTTAGTACTGGAGTAAAGTTTCTCAGCCAGGGACGTCAGTAGAGAATCGAGGGATGCCCAGCTGGGCGGCACCACACATGGTGCTGCCCACCAGTCCTGTGCTAACCGGGTCCCCGCCTCTCTGCTCTGCTCTACGTGGTTACTTACTAAAGAGCAGCCCTCGTGTTTCCAACCGCCAGTTCTGAAAACGGTAAGAGACAAAGCTCAGAGAGCTGCTGTGGGTCCCCTGCCCACACCAGTGGAGGTAAGCTTGGGTGCTGATAATGTTCTCACCTTTATCTGGCCTTAAACCGTCTCTCCTTTCCCAGTCCCTAAACGACAGCTGTACTGCGTACCATAAAGTGTAGTTAGAGTTCGGTCCTTAGTTCTAGATTTAGTCCAAACTAGTAGGTATTTTGTTAAATCTAACATTGAAGTAGCGTACTGAAAACATAGACTGTAACACAGAGCTGCTCATCTTCTTCCCCCGCCTGCCATTTTCCGTCATCCCCACTTCCCACTGTCTCCGTCTCACTCAGTTTATTAAACTGTAAGAAAGGGAAGGAGCCGAATAACAAATTTGTCAGTTAACGTGTTAGCGAAAAGTAGGGACAGCTGGAAATAGATAGCATTGTTTACTCAAAGCAGAATATCGTGTATCCACTTGAACACGAATTCGTCTTTGCAGTTCCGAAATTCCAACCTTAAAATTCGAAAAAGCACAGAAACTATAAGGTTAGAAATTATTTTCGTCAGAATACCTGAAAGTAACATATTAAATTTTAAAAAAATTTTACCTGAGCACTAAATGCATGAGTTTCATCATTATATGTTGACATACAGGTTCAGTATTAGTGACAATACTTAGTCCACCTTGTGACTTGTAGCTAGCATGTAAAAATCCATGAAGAGACATTTTGTATTGTTTTTTGCCGGACGCCCGTGGCTAGAATAGAGAGCTGTAAGCTGTCACTAAACAGTTCCTGCGTCATTTAGGAGCTCGTGGCACAGATCTCAGACAACGTCCATGGTCAGTCCCTTGCCTTACTCAAAGCACCCGCCTGCGCATTCCCCTAAGAGGTAGGGAGAAGGGGAAGACACTGGCACCCTACGCCGTTACTTCTGGTATAATTCTACTTATAGTTTATACAATATATGATAACTTTTAATTGTATCTGAGTATATTTCAGTTTTCTTTTGCTCAAAATGCCCTTTTTAGGGAGACAGATAGTATTCTAATTTTGCAGATCTAGAAAGCCAAAACCTATTTTAATGGCTTTCTAAATTGCAGTAAATTATTAGTAGACTGGGATCCTACCAGACCTCTCCTACTAGATTTTTGCTCTTGTTTTAACTCCACTTGGCTCTTTCTTAACCAGCTTGTCCTTTCCTTTCTCCTCCCGCCTCACCCCACTCCACTGCCACCTCCAGAAAGCTTCAGCTTACCAATCTTACATTCTTTAAATAAATTAGTCAGCAAAACAAATACTGGATCTCCAGTCTATCTTAACTGCAGAACTGTTGTGAAACAGTTACATTTTAGATGTATTGATCAAATTTACTCATTTTGTCCTGTCTTGTAAAAGAAAATCAGATTGACGTAAAGATGTACGAGTAGACCATGAATCTGTTGTTCCCAGTAACTACCCCAAGTTTAAGTGTTCCTTGTGAGCACCGAGGGCGTGTGTTGGGTAGAGATCCCTCCTCTCACGCGCTGCTGGGAGCGGCCCTGAGGGCTTCTGATGACATGGCCTCTGCCTGGTGGAGCAGCTCCGTTTTTCCTTTCTTCAAGGCAGTACCTGCCAAAACATACCGGATTCCTCCCCAGTTCTGTATCTGTGACCTTTTTTCAACACAAAGTTGAAATAATTTCAAATACAGGTATTTCTTGTTTAACAAACTGCCTGTTTAATGACTGCGGATTTAGAACCCATCTTTTGGGGTGTGTACAGTTCCGCGCATCTTGTTTTTAGAGCATCAGTGTCTGTTTTTGTACGGTACACCTTGTTTATACCGTACTGTAGTTTTTGCTGATTGTACTGTGCAGTACTAGTTTCATGTTCTGTTATACATTACAGTGCTACGTGTAAAGGTAGACAAATAAAAGTAAAGTCAAGTTGGAGTTTCCTTTGACCCTTTCTTTGTTCTGAGTACCGTAATGTAATACTGTAAACAGTTCCTCATTTAACATCCGGCTCGTCTAACGACCTGATTGCAGGACCGTGCCTTGGTTACTCCATGGGGAGTGCCTGTGTGTGCTTACTGACGGTGCACAGTAAATATGGCCTTCTGTCAGGTGCGGTTAGGTTCTCTCAGCCCTCAAAACCAGACTAGACTGACTGAGCACTGACTCTTCACAGAATCACAGGCTACAGTTCTGACGATTACAGTTAGAAAAACATGCATCTCAGGGTTTCTACCTGTCCCTGACACTGGGAGTACCCCTTCTCTGTCACTGTTACTTCTCTTTTCTGAGTGCATGGGGCTGTCACCTGCATTCCCCTTGTCCTTGATCTTTGTTTGCTACCCGGATAAACTGATCACTGGTGATGCCATCATAGTTCTAAGGTACCATATTTTGTTCTTAATAGAACTCCTAAGAGTTCGGGTGGGGGAAAGAATACTGGACTGAAACAAAACTTATTTTTATAAGAAATCAAGGTAAAACATTGCTAGTCGGAAGTATAGCAAAGACTAATGCAAACATACCATTAGGAGCAAAAGAATTTTAGCAGCTAATCACACCTACTGAGTAGTGGCTTGGTTGGTACTCTTGATGCTGGCTCTGCAGGTGGGAGGGAGGTGCTTTGTGCTCCCTAGTAAAGGGGTTGGTCGCTGTGTTACAGCAGGCCTCAAAACGAGCAGTGTGTCTAAGATGGGAAATAGCATAAAAGAGCCGCAAGTGGACTAGGTGGTCCACATGGGCAGACTAGTGAGACATCAGCTAAAGGAGGAAAACGTTAGTAGACGGCTGCTCGTGAGAGTGAGGCCACAGCCTGGCTCACAGCCGCTTGCTCGCTCCTGTGTCGTAGCGTCGCACGGCCGGTTCCCAGCGCGTACTGCTGAGCCGTGGAGAGGGTGAGAGGGAGGTAGGAAAGGTGAATAAGAGCGGGGCTTTCAGGAAAGAGAATTTGTATTTAAGTGACTCACGTTAATGAACCTCAGATTCGGGGAGGGTCCGTTCACTTCTCTCCCTCTGAGCTCTTTAGCTTATGGCACTGGAGAGGTAAGTCTTTAGAAGACATGCTGCCTTGATTAATATCAGCAGGGTCTGAAACAGCACACACTACCAAATACTGCATTCATGGTTCTCTGGGGAAGGGCCGTGAACATCTGAGATGCCTGACAATGTGAGGAACTTCACTGAAAAGCCGAGGTCTTCCTGCTGTTTGATGAAGTAATAAGAAATGTTTTGAAATCAAGCTTCTGTATGAATAACTTCCTTCTCTTCATCTTTTTTAGGTGGCATCCTTAGCTGGGCCAGGCGGGGAAGTGGAAATAGAACAGAACTTCCTTAACAATAAATTGAAGACGATCACGGCTTATTTTGGTGACCTGATTCGAAAACCAGCCTCTGAAACCTGTGAGGCAACATAAAGACAAAGGGATCATGTAGGGCTCAGAACCCTGATCACATGAGACACTGGGAATGTCGTTGTGTGTTCACGGCTGACTTTGTATACGTACTCTTCCAGGGTCACGTGGTACAGAAGCTTACATGAGCTTGATGAATATTATCAGTGAAGTGCTTTGAGGTCTTCGGGTTACATTAATCAGGTGCTGTATGTTTTGTACCTTAGGGTCGTGAGCGTGATGCAGACAGGACAGGGCTGCTCCTGTGCTTACTTTCAGCATGCGTCCATGTGTGTATTTTTACATATTTTGTATTTTATCTTCTTTGTATATATACATAGATGTTCTGTCTTCTTTGTAGATATACATCTATATACGTATAGATATATATGCATATTTTAAAATAATTGGTTTAATGCGGAAAAATACAAAACTGAATGGATAATATTTATCCACCCATTTAAGCTCTGTGGAAATAATGTTGTACATTTAATGCTAAAAATGTATAATGTAATCCTAAAACAGTGCAGAATGATACAAAAAGAAAAACAAGTTTCACACCCCTCCCTCTATTGTTCATTCATCCACCTAAAAGTAATCGCAACTGTGTTAGGATGCAAAGGAATTGCAGTATACCCTCACATACGTTTTTCCTCGTTAATGCCCTTTTTCCAATTGGTGCACTGTTTAACACTCTAACACCTGTTTTTACTTAATATTTGTTAAGCAGTACGTCTTGAAGACCTTTGCATATCGGTACATACATAGAGACCTACCTCACTCTTTTCACTGGTTTTCTTGAATTGTGCTTTCTGGATGTACCATTACTAAATTAACTGCCTACTGATGGTCATGTGGGTTGCTTTCAGGTTTCTGCATTTGTCAACTGCTCTGCACTCTTTGTAAGTGTAATGTATACTATTGAACACGTATCCAGTGGGTAAATGTCTAGCAGTTTAGATTGCTAGGGGTTTGCTTTCCTTTTGTTGTAGTTTGATTTGGTTTTTGAGGTCTCACTAAGATGCCTAGACCAGCGTCAAATTGTGTTCCACCTCCAGAGTGCTGGGATTGTAGGCATGCACAATCACACCCAGAAGTCTCTGCATTGTGACTCCGGTAGACGCAGTCAGATTGCCTCAGTAAAATAGGGCTCTGGTTTAACCTTTCTTCTTTTCATGTCTTTGGATCATCTGGAACTTGCTTTTGAACATCCTTTTATAAAATTAATGTTTTTGAGATTTTCATTGCAAACTCAATGTGAAATATATTTTGTAATATAGAAGTTTATATTCTTTTTGTATTAAAATGGCAATGAAAAGAGGAGTGTTGCTTACTTATTCACTGAAAGCATGTTCTGTCAATTTTACAAGAAGAATGACATACAGTTCTTTAGCCTTTACGGTTAGATCCAGACTTTTTATCTTTTACTGTGAGCATGTGAAATATTAAAACAGTGTTTTGGTTGGAATAAGGCTAGGGACAAGGGTATAGCTCAGTTTTACAGTGTGTGCTTAGTGTGCAAGAGGCTCTCAGTTCAACTTCCAGTACTAAATAATAGTAAATATTATGAGCAAAGCCAGTTTTTGAGTATGTTAACATTAGTCTCTTAAAACTACATTGTGTACCTGACTGCCCTGCAAGCAATTGAGCTGCTCTTTAAGGGAGAAATTACTTTTTTATTAATTTGTAATGTCAAAATCTGTCCAGATGTGCTTGAATTCTGTACCTTTTTGACATAACATTAGTGGGGTTTTTTTGTTTGTTTGTTTGTTTTTCTTCTGGTACCAGGAATTGAACTCAAGACCTTGTGCTTTCCAGGCAGGTGCTTTGCCGCTGAGCTAAATCCCCAGCCCCAACATTAGTGTTTATATCATAAACTTATTAATGATTTGAATAACACCAGCATTGATCGTCCGCAGTTCTATACACGGTCCCTAGAACTAGAAAAGTTGATAAATGCCATGAAAGAAATGACCAATTACTTTTCCGTTTTTTGTCACAAACTTTAATGTATACACTTCTCTACAGTACATATTTTTAGTTGTATATTATTGAAACTAACTTATCAGCTGGATGTGATAACACATGCCTATAGTCCCAGCTGTTTGGAAACTGAGACAGGATCAAAACTTCAACACCACTCTGGGCAACTTAGCAGCAAGCCCCTGTCTCAAAAGCGTTTTTGAAAAGAGCTGGGGATATAGCTCATTGGTAAAATGCCCCTTGTTTTAATCCCCCAGTCCACAAAAATAAAAGACAAGAAGCTAATTCTTGAGACTAAACTTTTCCCGCCCACTAATCACATGGGGAACTAACTAATTTAGAGTGTTAGTGCCCAGAGGGACTTAAGAAAGGTTCTTGTCTGTTGTGAGTCTTGTTCAAATAAAATCTTTTTTTTTTTTTGGTACCAGGGATCAAACTCAGGACCTTGCACTTGCCAGGCAGGAGCTTGTGCCGCTGAGCTATATCCCCGGCCCTGTTCAAATAAAATCTTACCAAGGACCCAAATATGTAAAATAGATTAAAAAGAAAAGTTCATTCAGCTGCTTAGGGTAAAACAAGAATCAAGAAGTTAGCAACCCGTTTCCAATCCAACCTATTCTTTTTTATTATTAAATTATAAAACCTTTAAAAGAATTATCTAATAAAAGTGAATATATTTTAAGCATCTGAGTACAAACTGAACAATTTAAGAAGTGGCCTCGCTCTTGAGCCCTCCCTCCCCCACCTGCCACGCGTGCGCCCCCTTCCCTAAGGCAGCCAAGGGCTGGCGCCGACGTTTCTCCTTTCACACGCTTCCCTCAGAGTCGTCTTGTGCACACGCTTGGGGGGACACAGGCTTACATTCCGAAATTTTTCTTACTTCTGCTGCCAGAGGTTAAACCCTGGACACGCTCTGTCATTGAGCTACACCCCAAATCTCTGAACTGTGTTTGTAATGTACTGTCTTTAAATTTGTCTATGTCAGTACATCTATAACTACGGTCTCAGTTTTAACAGACATAAGTCAGTAAGACTTCCTTTAACCATGACCCAATTATGAACATGTAAATGAACAGCTTTTGCAGTTGCAGCTCGTGCTGCCTGCAGGGCATGTTTCTAGGATAGCTTCCAGAGGTGAAATTTTTCAGTCAACAGTCATCCTTTTTTGTTGTAATAAGTATATAGTGTCCAAAATATATATCACCACTAGGGTATGCATTTTCCTCATACCCTCAAAACCATTTTATATTTTCACTTGTTGCTAATGTGGTCAAACAATAAAGTTGATTTAACTGGATTTACTGATTTGCTAGTGTGGTATGAGCAATTTTTCATATATTAGCTAAACACAATTTACACATCAAAAGTGTTTTTTTGCTAAATGAATAGTTACTATTTTTCTGTTGAGTGAACTAATTTTTTTCTAATTTGGAATCTAACGATGCACGTGCAGGTATGTGTGTGCATGTGTGTATAACTTTCTGAAGTTTGTTCTTTGATCCGCTTGTCCATTTCTATGCTGTATGTTTTTAATTACAGTAGTCTTCATTGTACACACTCATGGATGAGAATTCCCCCATTGTTAGTCTATCAGAATCAAGTTCTGTTCTTAAAATCCTTTGGGATTTCCTCTCCACACACAATTGTTGTGATGGAATCCCACACCCTCCTCATGCTAGGCAAATGCTCTTAACACTGAGCTACATCCCCAGCCCTCTTCAGGGAATTTTTTGTTTGATTTTTGAAACAGTCTTGCTAAATAGTCCAGGCCAGCTTGAACTCACCATGTAGCTTCGGTTGACCTCAAACTCAAATCCTGCCGTGGCCTCTCAGGTACTCTGTGGGAATTTTCAGTTTTCAGTGTAGGAAAGTATCCTCACAGCTTTGAATCTTACTATCCAAGTACTTGTTCTTCTGTTAACTAATGTTCTTCTGTTATTCTCATCTTTTATGTGTTTCATTAAAGCTGTACCATTTTACTGTATAAGTCTTGCATTATTTTTTTGCCAAGTTTATTGCTTGGTATTTCGTACCTTTTGCTTGGTTTTGACAGGGACCTTATTTTCTTACATTTTCTAATCATTTACTGTCTATAAGAATGCTGTTTTGTGTGTTATTTCTAGTCACCTAATGAATTCTTTTTAATTCTTCCAGTAATTTTTCAGTTGATTCAGTTTGGTTTTCTAAATAAGCCATAAGATTTTCTCTTTACCAGTATATATGGCTCTTAATTTTTAATCTTTCCCTATTCCATTGGTTAGGACTGCCAGGAATGTTACAGTAGTGGCATTTGTTTCTTGCATTTTAGTTTGCAATGAAGGGTTAGAAGCATTTCTTTGTAGCTTATATTAAAATTAAGATACTACCTTTACAAGTTTTTTTGTTCTTATTTAATGTAGTAAAGCCCAGATTACTTTAAATTTTCAAATTACTCAATCATACCTGCATTTCTCATTAAATCCATGTATCATTACATGTTGTGGTAGTCAGATTTCTGTCAGTGAAAAAATACTTCACCTAAACAACTTGAGGTTCATTTTGGCACACAGTTCCATGTTTCAGTCCATGGTAGGTTGGCTGCATTGTTTGTGGACCTGAGGTAAGGCAGAACAATACAGTGAGAAGGATATGACGGAACAGAGCTGCTCATCAAGGCAGCCAGAGGGCAGAAAGCAAAACCAGAGACAAAGGAGCAAGGGGACAAGAAATGCCCTTCAAAATCACACCCCCAGTGACCTACCTCCTCCAAATCGGCCTAATAATCCACCCAGACACTAACCTCATCGATGGATTGATCATTAACAAGCTTAGTATCCTCATGATCTAATCACTTCTAGGGCTGCCTACGAGCAGTGCTGCATTGGGGAACAAGCCCTCTGTCGTTTGGGGGATATTGCAAGTGGGACCAGTATAATACAGGACACATATTTTATATGTAAAGTCACCCAAAGAATCGTATACAAGAGTGCAGGAAATCTGTCCACACACTTAAGACCGAAGAATCCAGCCGAGGGCCTGGATCCCACAGTAATGTGCTGCATGAGTCCAGCCGAAGACCTAGAGCTCATAACAGTACCTCCCATGAGTCCCGCTGGAGGCCTAGAGCCAATGAGAACATCTCATGCAGGCCTGTTTCACTGATCTGGGCTGGAAGGCCCAAAGGAATCTACAAAGTCTGTGTCAGCGGGATGAAGGATCTGTGCTAACAGGCTGAGGGATCTGCACTGGAGCCAGGAAGAACTCGAAAAGTAAGAACCAGAGCTCCCCTGAGGAGATCCACAGCCATCCTCAGCAACAGTGAGGTCCTGAGCTCCTCAGATGGTGAGGAAAGCTGAGTTCCCATCAGGAAAGCCAAGGCAGCAAGCTTCTCCAGGGGAGGGAGCAGTGCACCATCTTCCCCACCGGAGCCAGAAAGCAATGCGCAAAGTGAGGACCAGAGCTCCCCCAAAGTGAACCGAAGCCATTCTTGGAGACAAGGTCCCGAGCTCCTTGAAGGATGAAAACACCTGAGTTGATCAGCAAAGCCAGCACGACAAGCTTCAAGAGAACCAACAGCTCCTTACAGCTTCTGTCAGCTTCCACTGGGCTCCCAGTAGCTTCTACCAGCTCCTAACAGCCTAACTTCTGGTCTGCCTCACGCTGCTGACAACAGTCCTCAGGTGGGCCTCCCGCTCCCAGAACCATGCTTACTCAGGTCAGCTGAGTCTTGTAAATTGACTACCAGTTGTCAGTTCACTACACCCTCTGTACATAACTTTTTGGGGAAACTTCATATTTAAGCCATAATGTATGATTTCAGTTCATTATTAGATTTCACTTACTAAATTTACTTTTGATTGTGTTTCTTATTTGTACATCTTAGACTATTCTGGCAGAATGATTTAGAAAGTTTCATTATTTGAATCTGACATTGGTAATATCTTTTCATTGAATCCTTGATACAATTCCATGAAAACTGGGCCTAGTAACTTCTCAAGTGAGATGTTTTGGTTGTAGAATTTTGTAAGTTACCTTTTCATTCATACATTTTAATGCCTTCATGAACTTTTTTTATTAATTTCTAATTCCATGGAAAATACCCATTCATTTAGATTTTAACAATAATATGAACTTAGCACATTATCTCAGGATTTTTTTTTAATTCTGCTTTTTAACTTTTCATTTTGGAATAGTATCTGACTTGTAAAGGACATGAGAAAAATGGCACAAAGAATTGCTGAGTGTTTACATCACTCGTCTTTCCAAGTATTACTGTCTTAGAGTATTCAAAAGACTCAAATTATCTGCTACTATCATGTTATCAATACATACTGTTACTTAATTTTTAACTCAGCTAATCTTTATTTTAAAGAGAAAAAATAAAATTTTAAAATAAGATAATAGAAGGGTAACAATGGTTAATACATTGCATATTTTTATCTTTAACTTTTAGTAAACATATTGACATTTAATCATGCAAACAATATTAGCACAAACCTTTCTTTTCATTGAACTAAGAAAAATTAGTGATATAACCATATGAACTATCTTTATATATTTTTTTCTTTCTTCCTTTTCCCTTCTATTCTTCATTCCCCATTCCGGTTTCTCTTTCTTTTTGAAGTTCCTTCCCATTTTAATTCTACATTTTGTACATTTTATACAATTGTATATCTGTTGTACATTTTGGATCTTATTTACTCTTTCAGCATCTCAGTAGGGAGACATGATGTTTACACATGTGTGTCAGGTTTATTTCACTTACGAGTATGGTCTCATGTTGCATCTATTTGTAAAAGTCTCGATTTTATCCTTTATGGTTGAGTAGTTCTCCGTTGTATAAAAGACCACATCTTTTTTATCCATTCCTCATTTGATGGGCATTTTGTTTCCAAGCTCTGGCTATTTATTGTGCTGCTATAACCATGAGTGCACATATATTGCTGTGGTATGATGTTTTTAGTTCTTCTGAGAACATACATAAATATTAACATAAATATTAAACCCAACATAAATATTAAAATATCCTGCAGAGGAAATAGCAGGGTCAAGTGGGACCTCTAATCCCAGTCTTTTGAGGAATCTCCACACTGATTTCTGCAGTGGTCGCACCAGTTTACACTCCCACGAACAGTGAATAAGGGACCCTTTCTCCCCACAGCCGCTCCAGCATTTGTTATTGGTTGGTTTCTTGATAATAATCATTCCTTCCAGGATGAGATGGAATCTCAGTGTTTCAGTTTGCATCTCTCAAATGACCAGTGATGTTGAACATTGTTTCATATATTTATTTGCTATTTGTATTTCTTCATCTGAGAGGTGTGTATTCATTTCAGATGGCCGGCCATTTTTTGATTGGGTCTTTAAATTTGGGAGGTTTGATATTTTTTAGTTTTTTATATGTTCTTGGTAGTAATCCTTTCTCTGCAGAATAGCTTGCAAACATTTTTTCCCATATTGTGGGTTGTCTCTTCACTCTGTTGGTGGTTTCTCTTGCTGTGCAAAAGCTTTTAAATATGATGAGATTCCAGTTGTTGATTCTTTGTGATAGTTCCTGTGTGATCGGGGTTTATTCGTAAAATCTTTGCCTACACCATCTTCGAGTTTTACCTAGTCTATCTTCCAGCAGATTTAATATTTTTGTTTTAATATTTATATTTTGATCCATTTTGAATTTAGTGCATGGTGAAAAATGAGTTGAATTTTAATTTTTGGCATGTGCAGAGCCAGTTTTTCCAGCACCATTTATGAAAGAGGCTATCTTTCTTCCAGTAAATGTGTTTGACACCTTTGCCCATGATGAAGTGGCTGAGTATATCTGGAGTTGTTTCTGCATCTTCTAATCAGCTCCATTGATCTTTAGGTCTGGTTTTTGCCAGTACCATGCTGTTTTATCACAGTAGCTTTATAGTATAGTTTCAAGTCAGGGGTTGTGAAGCCCCTTTCCTTGGCTTTGTTGCCCAGAATTGCATTCGCTATTCTAGGTCTGTTCTAGTTCCAAATGAATTTTAGTATTTTTTTCTCTAATTCCATGAGGTATGCTATTGAAATTTTTATCAGAATTGCATTAAATCTGTATAACAGCTTTGGACATAGGACCATTTTCACTATATTCGTTCTTCCTACCCAAAAGCAAGGGATATCTTTCCGTTTTCTGATATCCTTCTCAGTCTCCTTTTTCAAATACTGTAGCTTTCAATGTAGAGGTCTTTTACATCCTTTGTTAGATTGACTCCTAGGTATTTCATTTCTTTGAGTACTATTGTGAAAGGTGTTATTTCCCTAATTTCTCAATGAGTTTGTTGTTCGTGTACAGGAAGGCTGTT